GGAATTCGGATGGTACATCTTTTGTAACGAGATAGCATAAGGGCAAGAAAATTTTCGAAAAGTCTTTAATGAACCTCATATAAAAACTTGTATGACAAAGAAAAGAACAAATTTCCCACAAACTTATAGGTAAGGTAAGTTTTTCATAATGTCTATTTTTGCCTTATCAACCTCAATTCCTTTAGATAAAATGACATATCCCAAAACCATAAAACGGTATTTTTTTTAGAATTAAGAATAAGGTTAGTTTTAATGCATCTTTTATGTACACAATTCAGATTATCTAAGTATACATCAAATAAGTCTCCATGCATGGTAAAGTCATTTATAGAAATTTCAATACCGCACTTAATATAATTAGAAAAAATACTTACCATACACCTTTGAAAGGTGGCTAGAGCATTGCAAAGATTGAAGGACACGCGTCTATAAGTGAACGTACCAAATGAGTATATGAAATTTGTTTTTTATTGGTCTTCTAAGGCTATTGCAATCTAATTATATCTAAAGTAACCATTAAGAAAACAATAATGAGATCTATCGACCATTTCTCAAGCATTGGATCAATGAATGGAAAAGAGAAATGATCCTTCAATGTTGTAGAATTCAACTTTCGATAATCCATGCACACACGCCATCCATTCTAAGCTCATGTAGGGATAAGTTTATTATTTTGATTTTTAACTATTGTAATCCCTATCTTCTTTACACCACTTAAATTGAACTTACTTATTTACTATTCGAAATCATATAGATCACACCAATATCAAACAATTTCAAAAAAAAAAATTTCACCACTTCCATCATTAGAGGTTTTAATCTTTTTTGTGCTTTCCTTGTTAGTTTAGAACCACTTATCTAGAAATATTTTGTGCATGCATGTGGAAGGACTAATACCTTTTATGTTGACCATGGTCTATCCTATGACCGTTTTATGGTCCTCGAGCACTCGAACAATTTTCTCTTCTTGCACTTTGGTTAAATTGCTTGCTATAATTACCGAAGTGTTTCTCCTCTATAAGAAAACATTCTTCAAGTGTGTTGGTAATGGTTTAAGTTCAATAACTAGTGCTTGTATAATAGAAGATAGTAATTTCGAGTGGGATAAAGGTAAATCAATTTTAACAACTTCAAACTTGTTACATATTGGAGGCAAAGGATTCGAGCCAACATCATCTCTTCTGTCTCATCATCAAGAGTAAAGTCGAAGTCTATAAGGTATTTTTTTAGACTCATACTAAGTTAAACACATCTTGAGATAAGTAATTAATAATATCAATAGATAAAACAAAGTGAACATCATTAAGATACCTTAGTGCTTAAAAAATATTGAAGTTAGCCATTTCATCATTAAATTCTATGGTTAATGTTCCCTTAAGCACATCTATTTTTTGTTTTAGTTGTCTTTAAAAAAGATCTACCCAATAGAAGAGGTGTTGAAGTTAGTGAATTTCCTTCCTCCATCCTCGAACATAGAAATCTATTAGGAAAGTTAGTTCGTTGACTTGTACTAACATATCCTCAACTACCTCCTCGGGATAGGCAACAAATCTATCTCTTAATTGAATTATAACACCAGCTTTCTTTCAAAGGCTTTAAATTTAAAATCACATGGTAAAATATGACATGAAATTAATTGAAGCTCTTAAATCTAACATGTCCTTTTTCAAACCTAGTGTTACCTACCACACAAGGTATTGTGAATATACCCGAATCCTTGTACTTTAGAGAAAGTTTTCTTTTAATGATTATATACACATTCTCTCCCATACTTATCTTTTTGTTTCCCTTCAATTTCCTTTTTGAAGTGCATAACTTTTTCAAGAATTTGACATATCTTAGAACTTATTTAATTGCTTCAATAAGAGATGTGTCCACCTCAACCTTTTTGTATTACCTTCTTATCTTTATCTTATTTCTTTAATTTTATAAATCTATTTTAAAAAAAAAGGTAAAGAATTAACCGAATCTTTATTGACAAGGGTTGAAGAATTTACCTTAAGCTCTTTTAAGAGCATTTCAAGTTCCTTTTCTGTCTCTTTTTTATCATTCAATAGAGGATTGTTACGTCGTGCCTCTATCTCTTTCCCATTTCACAATTTTATGGTATTTATGTCTTCTTCCGGATTCACAATTGTTTGAGAGGGAAGTTTTCTTGAACTTAGGGCCTCTAGTTTACCTACGAGTAGTAATAATCGACTCATTTGAGTCTCTAAGTTTTGGATGCTTGTTCGTATTTATTATTAGAATTATATGGTGTTATTTTAAAGTTAAGCGAGTATTCTAAATTAATATTTTCACCATATCTTCCAATGATGAATCAAAACCCGAAGTCGAAGCTTGTTGCTTTTAAAATGATGGTTGATAGGGCCTTTGTTATTGTGCACCACCTTGATTATTCTAGTAGCTTAAGTGTAGAGTATCTCGCCATCCAAGATGAATATCATACCTTTTTTGTTATGGTGGCCTTAGGAAACCAACTACAATATTGGCTTGTTCGGTAAAGTTATCTTGCAAAGAAAGGCATATTTGTTAGTGTAGTGCCCTATAACTAAACATTTATCATATGCTTTCACTTGTTATACACCATTTTGCTACCATTTATTTCATCAAAGAGGTTAATCTCATAATTCCGCTACTCAAGTGTAGACATACTAATTTCATATACCTTCTTTTGAGAAGGATGATCATATCTAGTATCAAATTATTAAGAGTTAGCAACCATGTTAGAAATCAAAATTCTAGCTCGCTTTTAGTGTTTTATCCACCAAGGCACCACTACTAATCGCATCTATCATGGCCCTATCTTATGGGAAGAGTCACTTATAAAAGTATTGGATCAAGAGTCACTCACTAATTTAATGGTGAGGGTAATAAGCACATAATTTCTTGAATCTCTCTCAATACTCATATAACATCTCCTCCATGCACCGTCTAATCCTCGCATATCTCCTTACAAATGTTTGCAACTCAAGATATGAGAAAATATTTCTTTATAAATAATCTCTTCATTTCATTATAGGCATTGTTCCTCGGATATCCGAACCGGTTTCATGCTAGAAGCGAGAACACATAAAATTCTTTAAGAGACTTATGAAGGTCTTCACCTAAGCAAACCATGAAAACTAGGTAAGAGTTGATTAGACTCGCATTTAAGCTCAAAAGCTACCTTAATATTAGGATATTCAAAACATAAAGGTTGAAGATTTAAGTCCGGAATGACCAATTATTTGAGAGTATGATTGTTGTTTGGATTAGCCATGTGTTCCTTTTCGAATATCTAGAGGAAAGAAACAATCAAAATATTAAGAAACAATCAATTTCAATGTAACTTTTCTAGTAACGATGTCAAAATTTAATGACGTATAATACCATTAAAAAATTAATATTTTTATTTTCTCCTCACTAGACCCAATTACAAACTACGGCTTATGGTACGTTAGTTCGATCCCACGAGGAAATGGTTCAATCAATGTCCCTTTTCCTTCGATTGTTTCAAGGTAAAGTTAAGGAAAAAAAGGGGGGTTTAGTTTATTGAGAATGTTAAAGATAAACATTATTAAATAGAGAGTTGATAATAATAATAAAAGCCTTGGTCGAAGATGTGTCTCCACTTTTGGTTAACTTATTAATCATTAACTTATAGATTAATCCATTCTTATTATGAATATCCACCGTAAGACAATAACATGTATGTTATTTTTAATCTTTTTTAGTGTTTCGTTAATAAAAAAGACACTACTTGATTAATCTTTAACTATTGAACAAGGGTAGAAGCTAGCTAGATTTAATCCAACAACAATATTACTTAATAAAAAGATAGGTGGAGCTAAATAACCCTCCTAAACACTAGGGCAATTTAACCTAGTTTTATGTTTTTGAAGGGATTAAAGAAAAAATCTATTTATAATCATTAACTCCTAGTTGTTACCATAAGTAAATTTAGATAAGCAATTACGAACTTGAATACTTAACTATAAATAGTTTATACTAATTAACTAATTAACATGCACTCTAATCAATCTACTATATAATCACATTCAAAAAACATAAAAAAATATAAAATATTCAAAAGAATAAGATTAGAGATAAAACCTATTTAGATCTTATAACAAGTTACACCGAAAGCTTCAACTTTCTCTTCAACCAAGAAAGATCAGTAAATAGTTTGCTTACAAGATATGATTTTTTTTCTATTTATGGTGGTTGCGAGAATAGAGGAATCCCTAAAATAAACCCTAACTTTTTTATTTATAACACAAAGTAGGGTTACAACACACATGGCAACCTAACATAGATATACGACCTGTTTGCAAAAGACATATGGCTTGCTTTTTTGTTCCACAATATAGTTTGAAGCCTTAGAAAACCGGTGGTACACCGCTTGCTAGATCGAGGCACACAATTGTGCCTAATTTTCTATTCATCTCATGTTCTTTACTTTCCGCTCGTGTGTCTTTTCTTCTTCTTGGAAGACATCTCAATCTTAATATATACCCGGATGTGTCACTATTATTTCTACTCATGTGTCTTTTTCTCTTTTTTTGAAAAAATCTCGGTCTTGACACACACGTGCATGTTCATTTTCTTTCTCAAACCGTGTTGATTGCTACAGCCCGTATGTCTTCTTTGTTGAGCATCCATATGGTTTTCTTCTTTGTTTCACATGGCTAGTAGCTTTTTCCTTTTGTAAGTCACACAGTTGTGTGACTTCTTTGCTTCCTTAATAGCTTTGGCTTCTTAAGCATTTTGGTTTGGGTTTATTCACTTTGATTGGCCATTTTTCCTATAAAAATTCAAAATTGTTAACTTTTTCTTACTTACCTTAATATAATATAAAAACAATAGTAAGTTTAATGTAAAAGAGTATAAAAGTTGTGTAAATTATACACCTATTAGCAATATCTATACTCGTCATTTCCATTATAGTTTTATTTTTTTCACGTATTCCATTCTCGTCGTGGAGCATAAGGTGTAGTGAGTTGATGCTAAATACCGACTTGTTCACAAAACTTATTAAATATGTCAAAAATGTATTCCTTCTTATTATCCGACCTTATTACCAATATCTTGCACCCATTTTGATTCTCCACCCATGCTATATATTTCTAAAATACATCAGCAACCTCATATTTGAATTTAAGAAATTATATCCAACAAAATCTTGTATAATCTCAATAAATACAATATAGTACTTATTGTCATTTAAAGATGATTTTTTTTAGGTCCTCCAATATTTGTGTGTAGTAGTTAGAGCTTCTTTGATGCTCTTTATGGAGTTTGAGGAAAATGGCTTCGACTTGCTTGCCATACTAACAAGCCACATAATTTGCTAGCCTCTCTTTAAGTAGTGGTATCTTTTTACTAGATCATGCTTGTACACATACAAAAGCCCAGCATGATGAAAATGCCCGAGCCTTCTATGCCATAATTCTGCTTTATTCATACTACTTGAAAAGGCCATTTGCTCCTCCTTTATTAGATTTAGAGTAAAGCTTTTTCCTCTCATCTTTATCTTGAACATGTCTTTACCTTCTCCATCTCTCGATCATGCACTATTTGTCTTCAAATAAAATTTTAAAGCCTTTCTTAAGCAATCGTGTTACACTCAACAAGTTTTGGTTGAGGTCAAGCATATATAAAATATCGACTATATATTTCAAACTTTTCGTACTCTCTATAACCATGATTTCTTTGTCTTCGGCTAAAATACATTCACTATTCTCAACTCTAACTTTGGAATGATAGTTTTATCTAGCTCTTAGCCATTGGTCATATGGTTTATGCAACAACTATCAATTAGCCAAGAGTCAATAGAGTTTATGCTAATTATGAAGCATGTTGTAACAAACAACTGCTCTTCTTGATATTGTTCAATAGTAGTTTTTGTTTTCCATTCATTTTATTGTGACTTATAAATCCTCTCTATGTGCCTAATTTGGTGACATTTCCTGCATTTGATGTTTGGTCTCTATCAACTCTTTCTTTGAAGTTGATTAGTCTTTTTGAGTGTGGGTGAGGTAGATAAGTTTTATCACCTGGTTCCGTTGCTACCTCTATTAGTGCCGGGTTTGTTGTTTTGCTTTTTATTGTTTCTTAAGTCTTTGCCTCTTTTTGAGTTATGTGTCTTTGCTTGAAAAACACCCTCCACAAAATCCTCTTGTCTCACCATCCTTCTTTGCTCCCGTGCCTATAATGCATTTACCAATTCTACCAAAGATATACTTGATAGCAGGGGTAGACCCACGTTGTGTACTATAAGGGCCTTGACCCTCCCTAATTTATGGAATATTTTTGAAAAGGAAATTAGAAAATATATAGAGAAAAAATGAGAGAACCTTATCAAGTGTATATTCAAGAGTCTTAAGGTCAACACCTAGTGCAGCAGAAGAAGCTCTTATGTATAACTTGCAGGTGATGATGAGAGTATGGAAATATAGTGTATGTTGATGCATTATTTGACAAAGAAGCCATCAAAGTGAGCATTTTATGTTAAAAAAAAAGAAATGAAGTTTCAAAAATTAAGAAAGTCGTTGGTGTTTGTTAAGATAAATTAGAAGAAGAAAAAAACTTGAGGATAAGGTTGTTTAGGTTTGGCGTGCGAGGGTCGGTTTCAAACACGTCACTTGTGTGTTTCTTACTAAGACTTAAGAAATTAAAAAATAATTAACTTGTTGAGAGTGGGATTTGAACCCATGCCTTTTTTTAATATGACACTATGAAACACCCCATGTCATATTCTTTTATCATCTAAAATTTGTTTCTAGCTTGACGAATATGTTTAAGTGCAACTTACAAAATTTTATTGAATATCATTGAAGATAAAGTGCAAATACATCTTATGAGGGATTAAGCTGCTTTTGAATTTATTTTCATTATGTATCTCATGATAAATTTTTTAGAGATATCTAATTTACTTTGTGAAGCTTTATAACTTCAATCTATATTTTGAATGCAATGCATCTAGTTTCTTCAACAAAGTCACTCATTGAAAAATTAAAAGATGAAAGATGGAATGAATTAATTTTAACAGCAAATCTTTTTGTGAAGTAGACAACATACCCATACAAGACTCGAATGCTTATTATGTTGCAAGAAAAGGAAGGGCTTATCATCAATAAGATGCAATTACAGTTGACCATCGTTACAAAGTTGACATATTCAATGCTATGATAGATTCTTAATTGTAAGAACTGAATAATAGATTCAATGATCACATAATAGAGCTACTCATTCTTAGTTCGGCTTTAAATCCAAGAAAGATGCGTATATCATTTAGGATTGATGATATTTATAAATTGATGCAGAAATTTTACCCTCAAGATTTTGTCAATCATGAAATGTTGTAATTAAAGATGCAATTTAAGCATTTTGATCATGCATAAAATCTTTATAATTTTGAAACATTATCAACGACTATCACGAAGTTAAGAAAACTTGAAAGTTATCCACTTATGTATAGAGTGATATCACTTATTCTTACTCTTTCAGCTTCTATGACTACCATGGAGCAATCATTTTCAGCTATAAAATAGTCAAGACTAAGCTTCACAAAAAGATGGAACATGAATTTCTTTTTTATTTTTTGTTAGTGTATATTAAAAAAGAAATTATTTAAAAGTTTAGTATATATTCGCTTATAGATGATTTTTGTGACTTGAAAGAACGAAAATAGCTATTTTGAGTTATTTTATTTTGAGACTATTTTAAAATATATGTTGGTATATTATTTATAATATTTATAAGTTTTATAAATCATGAAAAATTTATAAATATTTATTTTGGCCTCATGAATATTTGATCTTGCGTTTGCCATCGCTTGATAAATCCTTTGATTCTTATAAGGTACGAGATCTTAGACTCATATTTCTCAAGCAATGTTATAAGATTTTTTTGCATAATTCGTTCATCGGAGAAGTCCTTACCAAGTAAACTCACTTTGTTTACTATGTTGAATAGCTTATCAAAGTAATATTTGATGGTTTCTGTCTCTTTCATCTTCAACATTTCAAATTCCCTTATCAAGTTTAGCACTTGTTTGGTTTTTGTTCTTTTGTTTCCTTGATACTCCTTCTTAAGATAGTCCCGGATGTCTTTTGCAAACTCTAGGTTCATGATCCTTGTGAAAATTATGCTTGACATAGCGGAATATAACCGAGCTTTGGTTTTATACTTTTTGGTCTTTTTTTCCTTGTGGCTCTTGGGTTGAGCCATTGTGGGATTTGCGAGCAATGGAGGAATATCATATTTTTCCTCTACTCGCCTCCCGGATGTCTAATGCATAAAGATGAACTGTCATTTTGATAGTCCTGGCTTAATAATTGTCACAATCAAACACTCGGTGGTGAAACAGTTGAAACTCCTATATCTCGTTTCCATTGCTTAAAGATGGTTGTTTTTCTGGTTTTGTATTTTATGAGTGCTTATAGACTCACTCAACTCACAAATCCCTCAAGAAAAATGGCTCTAATACCAATTTTTGTTGATGACCATAGAAACAAAGGATTTTGATAGTAGAAACAAGTATATGAACTGCAAAATTATAATTTTCTTATTGGATTTGTCCTTTTAAAATATTATAAAAAGAAATAAAAAATTTAAAAATTTTGTCGATAATAAGACATGATTAACAACTCTTCCTATAATTAAGCCATATCTACTATAACAACTAATTTCTTAAAGATTTGGTCTTAAGACACATTTATCTTCACCAATTCTTCAATTTTACTGTAATATTCTCACACAGACACTACAACAAAAATAAGTTATAGCGACGGTCCACAAACCGTCGCTAAATACCTAAATTAGCAACAATTTTCCATACTTTAGCAACGGTCTAAAAAATGATTACAAAAATTAAATTTTGAGACGGTTTTTAGCAACGGTCCACAATCCGTTGCTACGTTTATCGGTTAACCATTTTAGTAAGGATCTAAACCGTTGCTAAACCGTTGGTACATTTAGCAACGGTTTAGCCCGTTGCTAAAACCGTTGGTAAATGTTATTTAATATTTTTTCAAAGGTTTTATAAAAAAAAAGCCTAAATAAAAAATATGTTTAGCGACGGTCTATGACCGTCGCTATTCCGTTACCAAAAGGAAAATTAGCAACGGTTTGGTGTTATTAAACCGTTGCCAAAATATTCCTTTTAGCGACGGTCACGGATCGTTGCTAAACCATCGCCAAATCAAACCTGGAAACGATTTAGCGACGGTCCGGGATCGTCGCTAAACCTTTGGTAAGTTGTTTAACGATTGCAAAATAACCGTTGCAACGTTATATTAGCGACGGTCCCGGACCGTCGCTAAATAGTTGCTAAAAGTAACCGTTGGTGGGAAACGGTCAAATTAAATTTCGAATTTACTTAGACCGTCGCTAAAAACTTTACCCTTCTATAAATAGCGATCGGTCTGAATCGCCATTTTCTATTTTCTTCTCTCTTCTTCTCCTCCGATAGCGAATCTATGCCTTTTTCGTCTCCAATCCTTTGATCTCTCTCATCAAAGCTATTGTTTCCTTAAAATCGCCATATTTCTTTCCTCTTTTTCTCCTCCTTTCAAGTTTTCTCTCTTCCATTGAAGTTGCCGTTTTCCGACGATCATATTCCGGCGAGGCTTTTTTTCCGACGGTTTCTCCCACTCCTTCTCTTGGTGACAAGTGCACCTAAATCTAAACCATCCTTTCAATTATTAATTTTTTCAATTATTTATTTATGTCAAATAATTAGATTTTATTTTAATTTAATTTAATTACTTATTATTGCTAGTTTAATTATTGAATTGTTTGTTTATTGCATGTGTTTTTTTAATTTGATTATTTAATTAAAATTTATTTTGTGTGTTATTTTAGTGTAAATTGTGAGAGTTAATTAAAATGTTTAATTGTTAATTGTTATGTTAATGTTGTTGTTAATTATTAATTAATTGAATATTATTGTTAACTTTTTAATATTGTTTTATTTTTTTAAATTGTTGATTAAATTAATTTGATTGTTAATTGTTAATTTACTTACTTTAATTTATTGTTAAATTTTTTTTAGAAAATATAATTGTTATATTTTATTTTATATTGTTATTTAAATTGTTATTGTTATTGTTCTTAGTGTAGCTAATAATTGTTAATTTACTTAAGTAATTAACAATTTATTGAAAACATTATTAATTTCTCGTAATTCCTAGTTCATTAAGTTAAAGCGTTAGGTTAGTACAAAATAAATTAAAACAATTTTCTAAAATTATTTTTAAATAAATAAAAAATAAAGTTATTAGAAATATTTGTAATTATAATTAGGAATTAAATAAATAATTAAGTTGTATTTAAAAATTTTCTTAAAAAATTTTTAGATAGATAAAAAATAAAATTGTAGGAAAAATTTGTAATTGTTAGTAATTAAATAAATAATTAAGAGTTATTTAAACAATTTTCTAAAAAAATTTTTAGATAGATAAAAAATGAAATTATAGGAAATATTTGTAATTGTTAGTAATTAAATAAATAATTAAGATTTATTTAAAAACATTTCTTAAAAAAAATTTAGATAGATAAAAAATAAAATTATCGAAAAAATTTGTAATTGTTAGTAATTAAATAAATAATTAAGTTGTATTTAAAACCTTTTCTTAAAAAACTTTTAGATAGATAAAAAATAAAATTGTAGGAAAAATTTGTAATTGTTAGTAATTAAATAAATAATTAAGAGTTATTTAAAAACTTTTCTTAAAAAAAATTTAGATAGATAAAAAATAAAATTATAGGAAAAATTTGTAATTGTTAGTAATTAAATAAATAATTAAGTTGTATTTAAAAATAATTTCTTAAAAAAAGTTTAGATAGATAAAAAATAAAATTGTAGAAAATATTTGTAATTGTTAGTAATTAAATAAATAATTAAGAGTTATTTAAAAAAATTTCTTAAAAAATTTTTAGATAGATAAAAAATAAAATTATAGGAAAAATTTGTAATTGTTAGTAATTAAATAAATAATTAAGTTGTATTTAAAAAATTTTCTTAAGAAAAGTTTAGATAGATAAAATTAAAATTGTAGGAAAAATTTGTAATTGTTAGTAATTAAATAAATAACTAAGAGTTATTTAAAAAAGTTTCTTAAAAAAATTTTAGATGGATAAAAAATAAAATTGTAGGAAAAATTTGTAATTGTTAGTAATTAAATAAATAATTAAGTTGTATTTAAAAAATTTTCCTGAAAAAATTTTAGATTGATAAAAAATAAAATTGTAGGAAATATTTGTAATTGTTAGTAATTAAATAAATAATTAAGAGTTATTTAAAAAATTTTCTTAAAAAAAATTTAGATAGATAAAAAATAAAATTGTAGGAAAAATTTGTAATTGTTAGTAATTAAATAAATAATTAAGAGTTATTTTAAAAAATTTCTTAAAAAACTTT